GGGGGGGAAATGATGCTGCTCTGCTGGTCCGTTCGTCTCCTGCCCGCCTTGTCAGCCCCGCAGCAGCACCCGAGACGTGGGCTGTGATAATCGTAGAAACACAGGCTCATGGAATGGGTTGGGTTGGAAGTGACCTTAAAAACCCTCTATTTCCAACCCCCCTGCATGGGCAGGGACACCTCCCACTAGACCAGGTTGCTCAGAGCCCCATCCAGCCTGGCCTTGAGCACTTCCAGGGAGGGGTCCTGTGTACACACCTGCAGGGAACCGGGATAACCCCCCTGCCTCAGCTCTTCCAGCCTGACACTCAGCCCAAGAAGCACCTTGCCAAATACGGCTGCTTCTCACAGACACAGCCCTTGCATCCCAATCCCATCCACACTCCCCACTTCAGTCCTTGTTGGAAAAGCCCCACAAAGAATATTAACTCTTCCTGCTGGACCTATGCTTAGGATCCCTGAGCTGTCAGATGTGGCCAGCCCATCTGACTAGCTTTCCCACTGCCTCACTGCTGGTAATATCACACACTTACCAGCTCAGCCTGAGGGTCTTTGCATCCCCCTTCAATCCCAGATGCACTCACATAACTACATGTTATTATCCAGCATTATCTGTGCACCCACATATTCCTGTCAGCCAGTGAGGCAGAACACAAGCATCTGTGCAACTTCTTCACCCTGGACGAAGGCAACAGAGCACTATGCTCATGCAAGGCTTCTTTCTCTGATTTGTTTTAAGAGCTGCTCCAGCAGGGCCAAAACTGCATTTTGGCAGATTTGCCCATTAGCTTTTTTATGCAGAGGAGCTGGGGGAGGTCCATTGCCTGTGCTGTGGCTGTGAAGAGAGGTTCCAACACAGCAGTTGTGATAGACAGTGTTTTGCAGAGCAGTAAGTCACAACTGATTATTCTTTGTGTCTGCTAAAGCTGGGTCTTCTGTTCTCCAGAGGTGCATGCTGGATCAGACTGACTGAAAGGAAAAGCTCTGGTAAAAAGCTCTGCAACTCACTAAGCTGGCTGGTAAATAAGACTTTACTCTGTAGGTATCATGTTCAAGAGAGCTATTCAGTGATGCTGCAACTGCTGGGAGGTGGCTTTGTATCTGTTGACTGATGCAGGGAGATAAAAAACCAATTAAATATATGGTAACAGATAAGGAGGTATTGATGGGCAGAGGCCTAGGCAACAAAGGGAAAGAATATACTTGTGATGAGAAAAGCAGCAGCAGACAATACTGGTAGCCAAAGGGCATCTAGTTCAGCTGAGGGAAGTGGTTAAGGCCAGGGAGGCAGATGTACAGGTTCTTCACAGAATCAGAGAAATGGTGGCAGGAGGAGACATCCAAAGTCTCTGATCCAACCTCTGGTTCAATCAGGTCACCACAATTTTTGCCAAACAAGTCTGGAAACCCTCCAAGAGTGGAGATACTGCCACCTTTCTGGGTACCTGTTCCAGTCCTGCATTTCATTTACAGCAAAAAAAATTAATAATTACAATAATGGGGAATCATAGAATGGTTTGTGTTGGAAGGCACCTTAGAGATCATCTAGTTCCAATCCTCCTGCATGGGCAGGGACACCTCCCACTAGACCAGGTTGCTCAAAGCTACATCCAAGCTGGACTTGAACACTTCCAGGGATGGAGCAGCCACAACTCCCCTGGGCAACCTGTGCCAGGGTCTCACCATCCTCACACTAAAGAATTTCTTCCTAATGTCTAACATAAATCTCCCCTCTTCCAGTTTAAAGCCATTCCCCCTTGTCCTCTTGCTACAAGCCCTCATAAAAAGTCCCTCCCCAGTTTTTCTGTAGCCCCTTCAGGTACTGGAAGGTCACTATGATGTCTTTCTGGAGCCTTCTCTTCTCCAGGCTGAACAGCCCCAACTCTCTCAGCCTGTCTTCATAGGGGAGCTGCTCCAGCCCTGGGAGCATCTTCACAGCTCTCATCTGGACTTTCTCTAATAGCTTGGTGTCCTTCTTCTGTTGGCTTCTCCAGAATTGGACACAGAACTCCAGGTGGGGTCTCACGAGAGCAGAGCAGAGGGGCAGAATTAACTCCCTCGACCTGCTGGCCACACTTCTTTTGATGCAGCTCAGGACACAGTTGGCTTTCTGGGCTGCAAGTGCACATCGCCGGCTCGTGTTAAGCTTCTCATCAACCAAATTCCCCAAGTCCTTCTCAGGGCTGTTCCCAGTGAATTCTCTGCCCAGTCTGTAACTGTGCTTGGGATTGCTCCAACCCAAGTGCAGAACCTTGCACTTGACCTTACGGAACTTCATGAGGTTGGCATGGGCCCACCCCATGAAGCCTGTTAAGGTCCCTCTGGATGCCCTCCCTTCCCTCCAGCGTGCCAACCATACAGTTTGTTGTCATCAGCAAACTTGATGAGGGTGCACTCAATCCCACGGTCCATGTCACCAACAAAGATGTTAAACAGCACCAATCCCAGTACTGACCCTTGAGGAACACCACTTGTCACTCATCTCCATTTGAACATTCACCACAACTCTTGGAGACTGACCATCCATTGTTGCTGAAATTCAGCCTGACCTTCTCAAGCTGCAACTTGTTGCTGTTGACCACTTGTTATATCTCTGGCTGCTATTGGGAATACTGGCTCCGTTATCATCAAAACTACCTTCCAGATATGGGCAGGAAAGAAATATGAGCTACTGATCTGCTATTATGCAAGCAATGGAAGTATGGTAGAATAACGGTTATTCCTAGCATTAAAATATTCTGCTGTTTAGAACTGATAGAAAGGAAGATTAAAATATTGCATTAGCATCACATGAATGATATTACAGGTTGTTTAGGTGAAACTCAGCAAATTAAAAAAGGCTTTTACGTGATGCAGCTTGAAGTCAGCTGTGGACCACTCAATTTCATAACTGCATATATAGGGGGAGGGTGAAAACTAAAAGAGATAAATCCCAGTAAGGACTACCCTGCCATGGGGAAACTAACTTCATAGTTATAATAATCTCTGATGATCACAATGGACCTCAGGCCTATGATTCTCAATATGACAGAAGACAGATTCCTACACAAACCATCAGTGAACCTACGAAAGATTTGCTAGCTGCAAACAGCCACTAAGTCATAGAGCAGGTGGTCATCAAAAATAGATTTTGGGCGTGTGATCAAAATTTCCTTACATATAAATTAAGTGGGATGCTAAATAAGGACTAGAGAAGCTAAATAAGAATTGTCTGTTCTATACATGAGGGTTTTGTTTCAAAACAAAAAATATCAAAGAGTTAAAACTCTTTAATATAGACTGTAGCAGCAGGGAAGGTGGATGTAAAAGAAGCCCAGAATTTCTGTGGGTGGCTATGGAACTTGCACCCCAATTAAATAATCAAAAAATCCCTCTGTATTTACCTAGCTGAAGAGACACAAAGTTATTAAAAACAGGTGAAGAGTAAGGACAGAGATCAACAAAGAAAATCCTTCTTCAAAAGTTTGTTGACAATAATGCAACATCAACATGGAAAATGGATTTTTAAAAGAAGATAAAGTTTTTCATAAAAGTAAATAGCTGAACCAGAAAGGAGAAAGTGGCTGTGCAAAGAGAATGGGGTAAAAAAAAAAAAGTAGTTGTTGATGACATGTAGCCTTAGTCTTAA